AGCAAAAAATTCAAACCCAGGCTATTATTTTACCCCACCTGACCCATTTTCTACCCAGTCTCAAAGTGTCATACGCAAACCTTCCAGAATTAGCGACTTTAACTTTAGCAGACCCTAATTGTTTTACTCCATCTCGAATCGATATGGTCATTGGGAGCGACGTTATACCCCAAATTCTCACCCAAGGACTATATCATGTTGCAGACGGCACACTCCTGGCGCAGAACACGATATTCGGATGGATAATTAGCGGACCAATAGCTGAAAAGGTGACGTCATTCACAACCCAAGTCACGGAACCCTCGAACGATGCTCTCAATACGCTATTGAAGAAATTCTGGGAGTAGGAGGAAGTATACCCTACCCAAACCCGTTCAAGGGAGGATAAATACTGCGAGAACCGGTATGTAGCGACCACAACTCGTCAAGAAAATGGAAGATACGTTGTAAAACTGCCTTTCAAGCAAGAATTTCCTATCACAACAGCACTTGGTCATTCTCGTCCGGCAGCACAACGGCAGTACTTAAGCGTAGAGAGTACGCTGCAACAAAAACCCGAACTGCGCGACAAATATAACGAAGTGCTAGAGGAGTACGTAACACTAGACCATATGACACCTTCCTCAGCCACTGAAATAATTAGAGAAGGAAAGTATTTCTCGTTCTCTCCCCCATCATGCTGTCTTAAAACCCGACAGCAAGACCACAAAAGTTCGCGTTGTATTCAATGCCTCCAAAATGTCCCATTCTGGTCACTCTTTAAATGATGTGCTACACACAGGCCCCGTACTTCAGAACAACTTAATGGTAGTGATATTAAATTGTCAACTCTATAAGTTTGTTTTTAACGGTGACATTGAGAAAATGTACCGACAAATACTCGTTGATGAAGAAGACCAAGATTTTCAACGAATTCTATTTCGTAGAACCCCAAGCTCCCCGATTCAAGACTTTAAACTCAAAACAGTCACCTTTGGAATTAACTGCGCCCCTTATTTAGCAATTAGGACTCTCCATCAGTTAGCAGAAGACTCAAAGAGCTCATTTCCTCTCGCCCATAATATTTTACTACGAGATACCTACGTAGACGACATACTGTCGGGGGCCACGATATACAGTCCACTTTTAAATCGATGTCACAAGTGATGGATGCTTTAAGGTCAGCAGGATTTCCTTTACGGAAAATTACAGCAAATCACCCCAGCTTACTTAAATCAGTCCCCGATTCTGTTCTGTTAGACGTAGATTTCTTAAAGTTTCAAGACGCAAGTTCTACAAAAACCCTAGGAATACAATGGAACGCTCTGACTGGCACCTTTTCCTACTCTTATGACCCCATTCCTGCTGAGAACTCAAAAACTAAGAGACAAATTCTGTCAGCGGTAGCGAAACTGTTCGATCCGGCAGGATGGCTATCGCCAATAATGGTCATGGACCGGGTGGGATGAAGCGGTAAAACCAGGCTCTCTAACAAAATGGAACTCATTCCGAGAAAGCCTTCCAGCAATAGAAGACATAAAAATACCCAGGTGGGTGCAGTTCACGCCAAAGCAGTACATTGAACTGCATGGATTTTCGGACGCCTCCGAAAAGGCATTCTGTGCCTGTGTCTACATAAGAGTCCAACTCGGCGAAAACTCGTTCGCGTCCTCACTACTTGCCGCAAAAAGCAAGGTTGCACCCCATCAGACCGTAAGTCTGCCCCGCTTGGAACTCTGCGGAGCGGTTTTACTCTCAAAACTGAGTAAGCAAATCCGATCCGAACTCAATCTGCCCTCTCATGAGTTAATCCTTTGGACAGATTCCGCGATCGTGCTGGCCTGGATGGAGAAGCCTCCACATACGTGGAAAACATATGTGGCCAACAGAACTTCCCAAATTGTGGAAAATGTAAATAATGCCCCTTGGCGCCACGTTCCCAGTCACGACAACCCTGCCGATTTAGGCACCCGGGGGTGCAAACCTCAAGATCTTGCCGCAAGCACTCTCTGGTGGAGAGGTCCAGCCTGGCTATGCAAGGCCCACACACACTGGCCGTCTAACACCAGAGCTTCAACTATTAACCCTCCAGAGGAGAGACGAATCGAAGTTTTTCATACCCTGGACAGCACGGATATACTCGAAAGATTCTCTTCTTTCCCACGCGCACTCAGAGTCATTGCGTACATGTATCGCTTCATAAACCATACCAAAGGGCTACCCATCTCCAACGTGCTTATATTATCCCAGGAGGAACTCAATCAAGTGAAGTACAAGCTGATAGCAAAAACGCAAAGAAATCATTACGGAGAAGCGATATCGTTACTTGAGTCCTCGAAGTCACTCAGCAAGAAGAGCCCTCTGCTCACCCTCAATCCGATGCTCGACAATGCAGGCATAATGCGTGTAAATGGACGCCTTAAATATGCCGCACTAAGCTACAACGAGAGGCATCCTATAATAATCCCCGATAACTCCATATTTTGCTCTCTTCTCCTAGATTTTCTCCACACAACATTGCTTCATGCTGAGAAACAACTCATGATCCGGATGATACAACAGGAATACTTCATCCCACGCCTGAAGCAGAAGGTCAAAAAGTGCATTTTTCACTGTAAACCATGCACGTTATACAAACAGCGGATGAAATCCCAAATAATGGCTGCCTTACCCCCTGAAAGAACCACGTTTACCATTCCCATTCCTTATCAAAACGTCACCGCTTCGAAAAGCGTCGTACACAAAGGCATATGTATGTGTTTTTGTGTGTTTTTCTACCAATGCCATTCATTTAGAATTGTGCTCCGACTTGACTACGGAAGCGTTCAAAGCGGCTTTTACCCGATTCACTGGCCGTCGTGGCCTGCCCCACAAGATTTTATCGGACAACGGAAAGACGTTTGTGGGAGCACAGCGAGCCCTAAAAAAGGATTTCGCTCTTTTCTTAAAGGAAGCGGCCTCTGATATCGCAGAAACATATGCGTTGCATGGATTCTCCTGGCACTTCATCCCACCATATGCCCCTCATATGGGTGGACTTTGGGAGGCGGCCGTTAAAAGTTTTAAAACGCATTTCACCAAAGTTGCCGGAAATCAAAAATTCTCTTTCGAAGAGTTCGCAACCCTATTAGTTCGAATTGAAGCGGTTCTAAACTCCAGACCTCTCTCTCCCATGACACAGGACCCGCAAGATTTATTGGCACTTACTCCCGGGCATTTTCTACGAGGAGCTCCCATTGTCTCACCACCGGAACCGGATGCCAAAGAACTTTCACTCATAAATAAGTGGCAGAGACTCAAGGTTCTTCATCATCAGTTCAGCGTACGATGGAAGAACGAGTATCTACACGACTTACAACGGCGATACAGGTGGAAAACTTCCCAAAAAAACGTTCAAGAAGGAGATTTGGTTGTTGTTAAAGATGACTGGCTCCCTCCGACCGAGTGGCGACTGGGTCGCATCACACACTTGCATCCCGGCCCCGATGAAAACATTCGGGTTGTAGATATAAAAACCCAGCAGGGAATCATAACTCGAAACATACATAAATTGTGTGTGCTTCCCCCTGCCTAACGTTAGGATACTCACCAAACCCGACACAATACTCTAATTAACTTTATGCTACCTATCCTACCCAACTCCCATTGGTCTACCCTTAGAATATATATCCCATGCGTATATGTACTTCTACTCATTACAAAGCCTCACAATATACGCTGACCCAGTACTAAAGTCTCTCCTCAATCCGTATATTTACAGGTCACGAAAGGATTCCCCCCAAGTGCCGACTGTGTGGCCGACTCCACCCGCTGCGCTTGTGTACCGCTTTCCGCGCTATGGATGCCCACGACCGCTATGAGTGTGCACGATTGCACAAATATTGTGTGAACTGTTTGGCGACTTCACACTCCACCGGAGCCTGCGATTCCGAGGACAGCTGCCATCGATGTGGCTTAGGGCACCACACCCTACTCCATCGAGAGAAGCGGGACACCACGCGCCAGAAGAAGGGAAGTGTTAGGGCCGAGCTACACAGCCGTTCTGCTCAGCAACGGGCTCGGAGGTTGCGGCGACTGATTGCTGAAGCCCGAAACATCATGGACAAACTCGAAAGGGAGCTGCTGCACTTGGCACCGAGGCAGGCGGGGCGCCATGTTGGAGACATGAGCCCTTAACTTACCATTAATTCGTGTCCATTTTTTATTTCATCTGGCCAGGCGGGCACCAGAGTAGTTGGCAACGAGCGCCTTGCCTTTTCCGCCCACCACCGAGTTGGTAATTTTTAATTGCTCAACAGCCGCCC